GGGATTTTTTAATATTTTTGGGGGTATTTTTTAATGTTTTAATGGTTATTTTTACAGTTCAGGGGTGTTTTTTTTGGGGTGGGGACTTTTTGGAGGGACATTTCCGTGTTTCAGACCCCATCTTTGAGGAAGTTTCTTGCTTCCAGCAAACCACATCCCTGTGTTGGGCTCTGTCCCATCCCTCCCCCAGCCGGCTCTGTATGGGGGGCACAAGGGGAAACTGAGGCAGCAGGTCTGGCTGTGAGGCCCCTTTTCCAGCCCTGACTCCATGGGGATGGCATGGGACTGGTGGTGGTCACCCATGGTCTTGCTCTGCAGGTGATCTCCATGGTGATGGTGGCGGTGGGGGTCTATGCCTGGCTGCTGAAGCACGCAGGTGAGGTTGGGGGGCTCGTGGGGGACACAACACCCGCGGTGAGGCTCCTCAGTGCCTCCCCTGCTCTGGCAGGGGTTGTTGGGGGGCTGGTGGTGATGGCTCGCCCTGGCAGAGGCGACCATGGCGTGCCTGGTGGTGGACCCCGCCATCCTGCTCATCGTGGTTGGTGTCCTCACCTTCCTCATCACCTTCTGCGGCTGCATTTGCTCCCTTCCGGGGCAAACTTTTTTTTTCGTGGGGACCTCCCCTGGGCCACCCCATAGGACTGTGGCCACTTCGCTGTGGTCCTCCCTGGCCATCACTCTCCTCTCGCCCGCAGTTCTCCGTCTGCCTGGCCATCATCTTCCTCCTGCAGCTGGTGGCCGGTGTGCTGGGCTTTGTCTTCTCCGATAAGGTGACCACTGTGGGGGTCAGGGGGCTGAGGGACCTCAGGCCTGTCCCATTGCGTGATGGCATCACTGATGTCCCCACTGCAGGCGCGCGGGAAGGTCAGCGAGATCATCAACGGTGCCATCATGCATTACCGGGATGACTTGGACCTGCAGAACCTCATCGACTTCGGGCAGAAGGAGGTGTGTGGGGTGGAGCTCGTGGGTCAGGCTGAAATCTGTGGGGTTGGGGATGTCAAGTGGCTTCTCCGGGGGGCTTTGGGGGCGTGGGGAA